CGTGAAATTAATATTTAGGATAAGCATTGTTACAACTTTAATTCTCAAAAATTGGTCTAAAATTAATCTGACGTAAGCCTAATTTCTTAGATAATCAAACTATAAGTAAATGAAAATTTTTTAATAGGAGTAAGTTTTTAGTGTGTTTGTATAAACAAATAAAAAAGGACTGTATGCAGGCAATACACCAATTTCAGCTTCTAAAATAAAATAAAATTTTGTTGTACAATTTTGATTTTTTTTTCCAAAACCCACATATTAAAACTGAAGGTAGATTCATAAATCACAGGAATATTATTTTGTTCATTTTAGATGGGATTTACTAAGCACAAATTTGAATTTCAGTTTTTATAAAATAGTTTATACAACGGTTTCCTTTGTATTTAAATATAGAAACAAATAAAAGAAATGCCTCTTATTTACGAATTTAGGATAAAATGGTAGATATATATCTAAAAATAATCAAACTACACACACCACTGACCGGAATTTGCGCACAAATCGATGAATGTGCGAAACTCAATAATAAGATTCCTCTTCAACAAAAAACAAAAGCATTTGCTTTTTAAGTTGAAATTTCAAATATCAATTAGGGGTGCGTTAAACAAAATTTTTTCAAATTTTCAACCAGATATAGCGTTAAAACAGACACGGAATTTACATGATGTTTGAAGATGTCAAACCGAATGCCTTCTTTGGAACTTGCATTTACTGCTCATAACTTTCCTTAACAGAAGTATGTGAACCTCAATTCTTCTGACCAATACACTTCTCAGTTTTCTTCTAAATGGGGAAATGTATGTTCAAGCTCATTAAAGATGCACTCAGGTTGTTTTCGTTTCGTGGTTCCGGAAGTATATTTAGAAGTTTATTAAAAAACAATCTGCTTGGAAAGCAATTGAATTTTAATAAATTGGAATATTAAATAATATAATATAATTATTATTTTCGTTTATAATCATAAGCGTTAGTCGTTCACCAAAAAAAAAATCAACAGCAACAACAACCTTTGGCATTTAATGATAAAACAATTATATTGCCAACACCAATGGGTTCCTGGTTCATGTTAATGAATTCAATATTTAAAAGCCGAATAATTACAATACCAATCATTACTTTAAAAATAAGCGACTACTCACTAGACGAATTTTTTTCATCATATATTTAAAACCGTACGTATTCTTTGACGATATTTTCAAAATTTTGACTGATATAGCTCCACCTAAAATTTTCTTGGAAAAATGCAAAAAATTCGTTCTATATCGTTTCTTAGGTCTTCTTGGTGTACTTTTGTGTACGATTATTAATTCGTCGTTCCACAAAGGCTTAGATTTTTCATACTTAACAGTGAGATTCGTTTTTTAACACTATCACAAAACCTTGAATGTATGCACCTAATATGTACTAAACTAACTGTTGAGCAAAAACATGTTTTCATCAGTTTTTGTTCTACTTAGTTAAATTTCAGCAAATAAAATAAACTGGCTTGAAAACAACAGACAGGGGCGTACTTTCATTTTTCTAGACGTAAGTGTTTAGGACGAAATTCATTCGAACACTGTGTGAACTACCTCTTAATAAAGTGAAAAAACATGACAAGACAACAATGAACGAAATTACAGAATAATTTACGTAACTTAATACTTGTAATGACAACACCGACTGACCTGACAATATTGCAGATGTCGTAAATTTAGATCTGCATCATGAAATTTCACATAATAGTATAACGGCCAGTTCGAAATTGACGTCAACAATGTTGAAGGCAATTAAATTATGGTCTATCTCCACAAGAAGCAAAATCAAATCACACAAAGTACGCATAATTTAAATTGAAACAAAATTACTATCAGGATTGTGTAGAAGACACAAAAACACCGAAATCTGATTGTGTTAACAATTTTTTATATAAAGCTTAATCCATACCCATCAGTGGTGGCTCGTAGTCCACTCTACTGGTGGGTCAATTTATATACATATGTAAGTGCAAACCGTCTATAAACCTACCTTCTAGTTTTTAAAACGTCTTCAATTTCAGCTCAATTCTCCTTTCTTTTGTTTTTGAAAAATGTTCGATCACATTTAAACCCACACATATTTTCACAGTAGACTCTTCAACACTTAACATTGCTAAAGCTGTGTTTTTTGTCACATAGTATTCTATAATTTTCAATCTCTTCTATATTATTCTCTTAAAGCTGGGAAACACCGTTCGTTTTCCGCAGTTGTCGTTGGTAATGTACACAAAATATTTAATAACTTAACACACACTGAGAAAGTTTCTGTAAAGTGTAAAATCCAAAAAACTTTAAAAAACAAAAGAACACATTTTTGGGGGTTATTAACCAATCGAGCCCATGGACGAGCCGCCACTGATCCCCTTAAAACAAAAATTATCTAAAAAACCGTAAGTGTTCCTAAAATAAATATTATTTCCAATAAAATTCGGCAGAACAATATCCAATGAATATCTAACTAAGAATAGTTGCGAGAAAATAAGCATGTCATAATAATATGGTCAGACAGTTTAAAAAACAGATATATTTTTACAAACAAACCAACGAAAAAAGTAAGAATGAGGAAAGATCAAGTTTTACTTTCCGAGCGTAAGCTAACGAAGTACATAATTTCCGGAACTACCGGACCGATTGTTGTCAAATTTTGAATAGACATTAACACTATCGTGTAGATGGTTAAACGCTAACCAAAATTTGGCTAATCAGCCTCATCAACAATTTGATGACGTCATCTCAAAGAAATCTATTTTAAAATTATTTAAATGTGGTACAACAATATACGGGGCCGTGTCATAAAATCCGACGGGTGGGAATGGCACGTTAAATGCAACAGAAAGGCTCCTCTATAGTGGTGATGTACGAATCCGCTTTAGAATTTTTTCCTTAAACGTCCAAATTTTCGCAAAAACATTTGCAATGTATAACATTTTACTACCAACGCCGGATATATACCATGGTAGACCTGTTAGTTATTGAGGAGAACGCCGACCTGCGGTCGCACATTCGATGCCAAACTTGGCTTTTTTCTTTTTTTTTTTTCTCTTTTATTAGTAATGCGCTGTGACTAGTATTGTCTATATTAATCATGTCATCACAGAATGCGCCAGCTGATATATTTAAAAATGATAAAATCAAAATTATAATATTCAGAACATTTTGTTCAATTGTGGCGTAATTAATAATTTTAGACCTCTGTTTTGAGGAAACAAACCCATTCAAATCAAACTAATTTCTACGTGACATTCTTTCGATGTATGAACATAAACACTTGAAGTAAGCTTGTTGTTAGTACTGAGAGATCATGTTATCCCGTTTAGTTATCTACTTTAAATATATTTTACAAGAATTTTGGGCTGGTTTTTACTTTATAAAATATTTACGAAACGAAAATCGCAAAATCAAATTTTATAATTTTTTAAAGAAGCGAAATTTGTCGGATTATACTTCAAAAGTGAAGGAAATTCTGTCAACCGATTTTTTTATATAGGTGAAAGTTAGTGCGGTACCAATGACACCGTGAAAAAAGGCTACGCTGGCTACAGCTTTTATTAACGTATCAATTACAAAGAATGAAAGAATCATTATTATTGATTATATTAGATTTAAAACGAAAAACGACTGTTTAATACTTAATTTGCTAAGAACTTTTAATTTATTATCAAGGATAATAGCTCGCGTTATCCATGACACTAATTTTGTTGTGTGCTAATTTTATGTTTGTTTTTCAGTTACGTTGCCGACCACATTGTCGTGAGAATTAATTTTTGTGTCATGAATATTCTTTTTAGGCAAAAACTGTGTCCTTTATACTCGTACCACAATTAGTTCAAAAAATGTCAAAAGTAACAATAAAAATCCCTCAACGAAAACACCCAAGTTTTACAACATAAGAATCAAAACGTGACAAGTAAACAATTTGGTGCCTCCAAATAGGATTTAAAAATGACCAGTTTCAAAAAATATCGGAAACCTCAAATACAACAATTCAGTTTCACTAAGAATGATACAAAACAAGTTTTAGTTTCTGACGAGCTGAAGCCAAACTTTTATAAAACAAAAAAAAAACTCAAGAATAGGAACTCCAAATTTCTAACGCCCTTAGTTTTCAAGTTACGACAGCTTAGAAATTACCGAAATATCTCCCTGCGACAATCCACTTCAGGACAGCTCAAAATTCGGTAAAATGGGATGCTCGGTTTAAAGTTATTATGCCTAAACAATACTGTTTTTTAACCAGAATATGTAAGAAAATACTCTTACATTGAAAATTTACCTACAAAGATTACAAAAGTAGACTTCTCGTCAGACTCATGTATTTTTAGATAATGAAAAGATTTCAAACTTTCACTTTAATCAAAAAATATGTTATTATTTCGTGCGTTATTGCTTTGATTTATTCGACACTGTGGTAAATTTGGTTACATTAATTTTATTTAAACTATCACTTTTTAAGTATTTAATAAGTAGACATAATCATAACCGTTCTCTGGTGTAGAGCTGCATAAATGGGCAAATTACCACGCCATATACCCAGACATAAAAGCTTCGAACTTTGAAAATCCTCCAACTGAACTGTTTGCAACTCACTAACGACCTCCTCTCAAGATTTTTTACGTCACACTGTCAATTACTTCCGAACCGAAGGTATTTTCGCCACAAACACTAATCTCGTTCTGATTTACGGAAACTTGGCGAGTACGCCTCGTTTTGAAGTAAAAACAAATTTTCAAGTGAAACATCAGAAGAGATAATTGCTGGTGAACGCCCGAAACAGGTGCGCTTTAATCGAGATTAGAAGGAACCCTTTATCTTATGATTTCCGAACCTTTAATCTCGAATAAATTATTTGGAAGAAAGTTTCGGCGGTTTGGACTTGTTTCAATATTGAAAGCAAAGTTAAATTATAAACCGAGAAAGTAACTTTTTAACCTAACCGAAGAAAATTTCGCTCCCAGAAGGATACAACAGAACACTAACACTTACCAACTAAGGCCAAGATGACGGTCAGCAGAGGAGCAGCCGGAAAACTTACGGTCACGTTGAATTCCAGCATTTGCAGTAGGTCAACTAAAAATAAAGGAAGAAAATATAAATTTAGATCCCGGCATATGAATGCATAATGCATCCTCTAAAAAATGCGCATCCATTATCGGCTCTGATTAATAGAATTAAATGAGGTTTTGGGGATTTCCTCTTTTATAAAATCATAGCTTTCCTTTTTCGTAGTCGACAGTAGAAGCCATTTTAGCTACATTAGCGAGTAATATTCACATTACGCTTGAAATTAAAAACAGGAATAATAAAAACGTTATGTTACTTGTAGGTAAATATTTCCATCCAGAGCCGTTTACTTTATCCTCCATTATATTTCCAATAAAACAGGAAGGGTGACTTTGATAGATATACGGATAAAACGGATATACTTTCTTATGTAAAGCCTAACCGCAACTTCGGTCAACATGAGCAGTTGTTTGGCGGACTGCGGCCTGCAGCCCGAGGCTGTGACCCTTGAGACTTTTCATGTTCAAAGTATTAACTCCAACCCAAAATATAAGAAGCTGACCGAAATGGCGAGTTTGATGAAATATGACTGCTGAAAATAAAAACTCACAAACCAATCGTACCCGGAAACCATGCAAAAAGAAAACAAACCGATACATCCGACAAACCAGTAATCACGATCCAACAAAACGACAAGACTTTTTGTTGATGTTGCTACTACCCAAAAGAGCATTGTCACTATGTGCTTATTTTAATATTCAGTTTTATTTATTATTTTCCAGTTAACCTGCCACAACTTGTTTGTTTGAATATAATGAATATTTAGGATAAGCTACATTAAATAATGATTATACACATTTTCTCTTTGATGCATTTTAAAAACTCGACATAATGGATGTTTTTCGCAAACGGCGTCTTTTAAAGGTCTAAAACATAAACACGACACATCAGGTCACAGGACTTTTTCGGTAGTCACAGTTTGCGGGCACAAATATTTTTACGGACATATTTTTCACTGCGTTCGTAAAAATCTGATAAGAAAGGATAACACTAGGCGAAGAGTGAGGAATAAAGATGAATAAAGGCAGTGTTTCTTCCGTTACACTTCGTGAAGCGGAGAATATAATTAATGGTCGCAAAGTCTATGAAAAAACATAAAAAGATCTACAATCAATTTCCGAAATAGAACAGAATAAACACGTAATAAAAATTTCAAAAGTTGTTTTAATATCGGGCTACAAAAAAAAATTATATCTCACAATTTTGTAGTGGATGAACCATCTATTCTTGCACGGGTTACGTCACCTATTAATACCATATTTCAGGACCAATTTCAAGTTGGATTTGCGATATCGCGATTGCGTTCACGATCGCAACTACTGCCATCGCATCTTCCATACCAACGAGGACTTGCGTTATCGCAAATCCAACTTGAAATTGGCCCCTTAAATATCTAACTGTTTTAAAATTTGTTAGCTGATGTTTTGTGATCTCCTTCCTACCTAACGTAGTTCCAAAATAAAATACTATTGCTGTCAGACGTCGCAAACTTTATTGTTAGCTACGCACCAGATCAAACCTATTTATCCTATTTTACGACTAATTTATATAATTTGTTAAACACACAGATTTAATCGAATAGTAGATGAAATGAGACATGATTTTCCTAACGTAAACAGCCCCCTCGGTAAAGTAAAAAAATTGTTTCGGCAGAACTTCCTTCGCTCCTGAAGTACAATGAAACATATCCAGCATTTTCGAATGGGCGCACCCTCAGAGGCGTCCGTCATAGTTTCTCTGTCATAGTGAACTTTTCTACCTGCGATGGGTACCTGTACCTGTTTAGATTAGTGTCTACTAGATTCATTCGCACTCGTGCTAGCGTGTTGACCAGATTTAAAAAAATAAATTTAAAAACCACCCCCTTCTGAAGTGTGCATGTTACGCTACTGACTGACACTCCGTTGTCAGATACTGATTACTCAGCATGTTGAACTTAAAATAATCCATTTCTAACAACCCTTGTCCTTCAACCTAGGTAATAGCAATCTGACGCTCAAATGTTTATCTATTTCCTTTTGACAAAACACCCAGACAAATGGATTTCTACAGGCAACTAAAGGAAGAAATGAGTAATAGAATTATGAATGGTGAAACGAATTAGAAGATACGTCACGTCCATGGAACTCCTAAAATTATGAAGTCGAACTAATAGCGTCACCCCATTACACATTTACAATTTTTTATCAAAACGCTAGAGGCCTAAACTCGAAAGCTGTTAATTTTTATAATTCTGTTTTAGAATGTGAATATGATTTTATAGCTACTTCCGAGTCCTGGCTATCTAGCGATATTTCCAGCAATGAATTATTTCCTCCAAATTTCAATGTCTTTCGCAAGGATCGTTCTAGAGAATCTACTGCACGTACTAAAGGTGGCGGAGTTCTCCTAGCAGTAAAAAATAATTTCTCCTGTACAGATTTGGACTTGTCCTCTTTTAGTGAAGTAATTTCACTTATAGACATCATTGGCATCAAAATTACAAACCAGTTTCTATCAGAATATGCCTTCTATTTTATAACAAACTCTAAGGTCTGTTTGATTTGTTTATTCCAAAGGTCTCTTCATCTTTCAGCACCAATCGTAATTATTATCCTCCATGGTTCACACCCCAAATTAAAAACTGTCTCCGAGGCAAAATACTTGCTTTCAAATCCCATGAAAAGCACAATAGCCCCCTCAATTATAACACATTTAAGAGTTATCGTTCCAGGTCAAAATATTTAAATAGGCAAGCCTACAAAAATTACTTAACACAGACGACTGAAAGCTCTATCACTACCGATCTCAAAAAATTCTGGGGTTATGTTCAGGCCAAAAAAGTATGTCTAGAATTCCTGGCATAACGAAGTATTCTGACATGGAACTGTCTAAACCCTCGGATATCGTAAACGCTTTTGGGGACTACTTTAACAGCGTATTAATCGACCTCGCATCTGTGTTGCAATTATCAGAAAAGACGACACACTCAAGCTCTCATATCATGGCGGTATGCATTAAAATCGAAGATGCCAGGGCAACCTTAAAGCATTTCAAAAACTTATTTACCATGAGGATCGACGGCTTTCCATGTTTTATTTTACAGGATTGTGCCGAAGTTCTTGCCCAACTTCTCTATGTAATATTCAACCTCGTATTCAAACACTGTGTCTTCCCTTCTCAATGGAAAAACGCCTACATCTGTCCCATCTTAAAAACAGGTAGACCCAATGAAATCACGAATTACAGAGGAATCTCCCTTTTGTGCAATTTCGCCAAAGCACTCGAAACCATCGCATATTTATAACTCTACGAAATACATAATCACCACACCATCAGCACTTCGTACAAAAAAGATCGACAGTTTCGAACTTGGTCACACTTTTTTAGATAATCAAAGCCAATGTGACGTTGTATATACAGACTTTACAAAAGCTTTCGATAAAATCGATCACTTTATACTTTTAGAAAAATTATTAAATAGATTGGAATTTCCTAGTTCCTTAATAAAACTTTTCACTTCGTATTTAAGACAGAGACAATTTGCAGGCAGATATAGAAATTTTACGTCAAGGTCCTTTATTCCATCTTCGGGTGTGCCTCAAGGTTCGAACCTAGGCCCGTTACTATTTTTGCTTTTCATCGATGATGTAACTGATGTGATACCACGCAATAAACTAATCTATGCGGATGATTTCAAGTTATATGCTGAAATAAATTCGACCAATGACTGTTTTTTTCTATAATCGTGTCTCAATATCTTACACACATGGTGTATAACTGTATACAAAATCGTTTAACATTCAATTACGATAAATCCAAAATTTTACCCTATTCCCGGAAACAATCAATTATTAGATATGACTAATATAAATGGTTATACCATTGAAAGAGTATAGAACTTCAAAGACTAGACCGTTACATTTGACAGCAAGCACACATTTGTGAATCGCATTACAGATGTAATCGAAATTCTAGGGATTTTTCAGATGTTGACACTCTTAGTTTATTCTGCATATTTTTTTTGTGATAGCACCTACATATTTAAGCAAAAATTAAATCTATATTCTCAGAAGTTTTGGGATAATTAGGTAACCCTTTTTTCTTCTTTTTTACTCAACGACGGAAAAGTGCATTAACCAACCACACGTATAAACGCACACTATTTTCCATTGTTTAAACAGAATTACTTCGCAAATTATGACGTCATGTCTTCAAAATTTTGGTGGGGATGGATAAACAAAGTTCGGCTATCGATCACTCAACCTGATGTTTCGAAACTGACAGAAGATAAACGGTGGGTAGGAGGACTCGGACCACTTGGGATGAATTCCGGGAAGACTTTTCCAACAACATCGTGGACTATGTCCAGTTTTTGCAACTCATTACAACGATGTGAGACAAATAAGTTCCGAGAAAATTCGTCTCTGCAAAGAAAGCAGGGAAGTGGCGAGTCGAAAGATACGAGAACTCCAGAAAATAGTGGAAATGCTAAGACAGCAAACCCCTACAATATACGACATTTATCATATGGAACTTGCCAAGGAATATTGAGAAAAAAATTTAGCACTGCTTTCGTCGAATAACATATGTGCAAGAAAATTACACGAAACTAATTTTCCAGCTAGGTTTAACTATTGTTAGTGGTTTTGCGATAAACTATTGGAAAAATCTTTTTCACACACGAAGCCTGGTTTCATTTAACTGGCTACATTAGTTCTCATGTTTATGGTGTAACTTCCCTTCATTCTCAAAAAATTGGTGATGGGGCTGCAATTAGTCAACGACAGATAATAGGGACTACATTATTTGAAGTTAATCATGGCAATAACGTACAATTATGTGATTAACTTGTTTATTCAATGTAATCCTCTCCAAGGTAACCAAATCGTTGCAGAAAGAAATGAATGTTGGCAGATTTTATACCTCAACTTCAGGATGACGAAACAAAAGTAGGTTATTCTCAACAAGATGTGGCTATAGCGCAATTGACTAGGACCACGATAGCGGGAATTTTTTGACGACCTGATCATTAATAGAAATACAGAGAATATCTGGCCCTCAAGATGTTGTGATCTTACCCCTGCACACCATTTTTGAGGCCCTATTTAAAGAACACTTTATCAAACACTTGTCAACAATTTGGAGGAATTACAGTTGAAAATAACAAAAAAAAAACTTGTACCAATTATCCATATAACTTCAGGCTTATTTTACTAAAATTAAGAATGCTTTTACATTTTTCATTTTTTGACATTTATCAGTGTGGTTTAATCACCGAGATGCTAAATCCTTTCCAAGAATGACTCGGTTAAAAATTATATTACTCTCCCGATATAAATGCTAAATGATAAGCCACAAATGTAAATTACAGATTTTAAATAGATTTATTTGGCAAAATTTTTAGATGACGTTATCAAGTTTTGGAGGTGATAAATACTTACATAAATTTTAATTAGCCATGTTCCATGTTAAAGAGAGCCTTAGAGCAAGAGTTCAGAGCAGTTCTTATAGAAATTTCGGGTTTTCCCAAAAATCTAGGTACCCAAGCCAAAAAATAAGGGTGGATTACTACCAAAATATAACAGAATATGAAGTCATCAATTTTTGATGGCGATGAATAAACAAATTTTGGTTTGCGTTTCCACAACAATCGATCAAATAGTTTCGATGTCGAATAAAATCGTCAACACACAGATCACAAACAAACGGAAACGGGATATCGCTGTTTTCGTATTGTACAATCCATAAAACGTAGGAAAAACACGAAATTAACATGCTTCATGCACTACTGCAATACTTCCCCAGCTTATGCTCTCAATGCAAAAAAGAAGCTACTTGAAACACCAGAAAAGCTCTTTATCAGGATGCTAAATTCACCACTCAAAAGGTGCAAAAAATTGCGTGAGAAGTGTTATAAAGAACTTGCTAATGAAATAATTTAAAGCATGTTAACAATTATAATTAATTATCTTAAAATAATTGCAGCATTTTTCCAGACGCACATTATTTTTGTTTTTTCTAACTCCACAGTCTTAGGAAAAATGTTGTTGCAATACAACACGAACGGAAAATATATTGAGCTCTTGATTTCAAAATTTTGAACGACGAAGTGAAAGTCTAATACTCAGAAGTAAGCTTTTTTTTACTCGAGGGATTGCATAAAATAATATTGGATAATATTTTTTGGAAACAATACAAACAAATGACAAAATATGCAAACGACAGCATGCACTGGATTGAAAAAAAGATACACGTTTCAGGGTTGAACACTTAAAAGTAATCACCATCCCTCGACCCTAAAAACAAACAAGGCGCATCGGTCCTCCCATAAAGCATCAACGATTTTCTTTCCCACTAATCACCGTCGTCTTTTTACAATTAGCGCAAAGATACTTCTGTAATGATAAAAGTTGTAGGTGCGCCCGTGCTGGATATGCATAAATCGTTAAAGAAAGATTGATGAAGTGGGGAAGCAAGAGGAAGCAAGTGAAAGAATGAACGTTTTGGGCTAATCAATAACGCCCCCTGAAAGGTGTGCAAATTATAAATACCCCGGCCGCGACGACAAAAAATTGCTTGCCTCCCCTGCCGTAAGCAAGGGAACACTTTCGTTTTACGTCACCAATATGGCGTCCATCGTCGGCTCAATTTTCGTCAAGAGGACGATTAATTCCATCGATGACGTTTGTCGGAAGTGCTCCATTGCTGGCGCAAATGCTCAAATCCGTCGTCCCGTTCGAATAACAGGTCAACGGGACGCTCCCTCGGGAAGAGCGTGAGCTACTATAAATCAAAAGACTCACCGATGAACACGAATATCTGGTGATGCGAATAGCGGAGCAGCATGGACACGGACACGGTCTGAAAAAGAAACCACAGATCAAAAACAAATCCCAATCCCTATACAAACTGTGTGGACGGACACAGAGGAGCTTTGTGCTTAGATGGATGCCGTATCCGTCTTTGCCGGAAACTTGCTTTTCTTTTTGCCAAATAGAAGGCCTCGTGCATGCATCGGCCGTACATTGTCCGGGCGAAAAATAACGCGGTTTACGTGCTAACATTATGTAAATTCCTAAAAACTGGTCTAAAGATATTTAAACACAACTTATGTCTCTTCGTAAAAGCGCAATCAATTTCGCATGAATGTTGGAGCGTAGGTATTCTTCTATAAAAACTACTCCTAATTTATTAATTTTTCATAAGGACAGAATAATAATAATAATAATTTATTACCAGCAGCACAGATGTGCCAATATAGAGGTAATATAACTTTTAATATACAATGGACATTAGGGTGATTCAAAAAAAAAAAATATTTTTTTTTTCGTGTCAAAGAGGTTCAAAAGTTTCTTTTCAACGTAAAAAAATACCAGTTAAAAGTTGAGCTCTTAATATTAATATTAAGACCGTCCGCATCGCGTTTTTCTATTTCCCATAAGAATAACATGGGAAAATTTTTGTTTGCACCTTCTGATTTTTATTGCTAGCCCGTCGTGTGTCGTGAAAAAAATTCAATCACATATTTTTATAGAGAATTGAACGCTCTACAAAAAGTGTCTCCTATGATTTTGCGAGAAACCTGACTATGATTTTTTAACCCACTGATGCTGAAAATGTTCGGAAAGAGTTTTACTGGCCTTATTATAGCATAAAATTATAAACAATTACTGTTTAAAAAACTAAATTTAAAATGTGTATAAATTTTTGTGGTGATTTATTCCAATAAGACCATCAAATTTATTGTAATGCATCAAAAACGTCAAAATTTGGATAAATTGAACTTTAGCCTAAAATAACTCTTCAACTATCAGGTTTCTCGCACAATCATAGGAGACACTTTTTGTAGAGCGTTCAATTCTCTATAAAAATATGTGATTGAATTTTTTTCACGACACACGACGGGCTAGCAATAAAAATCAGAAGGTGCAAACAAAAATTTTCCCATGTTATTCTTATGGGAAATAGAAAAACGCGATGCGGACGGTCTTAATATTAATATTAAGAGCTCAAATTTTAACTGGTATTTTTTTACGTTGAAAAGAAACTTTTGAACCTCTTTGCACGAAAAAAAAAATTATTTTTTTTTTTTTGAATCACCCTAATGGACATAGTGAAAAAACAAATCTTCAAATTTGGATTAAAAAAGTGAATATCTTAAAAAAAGAGAAAAACGACACATTGCTGGTTGATATTTCACCTTCTAGGTGTTTTACTGAGCAATTAAAGATATCACAATTTTCACTGATTCGATTATGTAATCCATTGTTCAGACCACTGTTTCAACGGATTCAAATTGGACAAATCTAAATAAAAGGTTAAAGCTGAACGAGACGTTAGTCTTGATAATATAGATAGAACAATTGATTGATTATCTAATATTTGCTTCACGCAGTTCTAAGTTTGTTACATGAAAGGTATTTAGTAATGATTGATCCAAAAGATCATAAATAATGGGTGCATTTTTCCTATAGAATATTAGAATTTTGCACTCGCCAAAGTTAGCGATGCATACATTACACCGCATGATCTACAAGTACTGTTTGAATCGGTAATAGAAGTAACCAATTTTACGATAATTCATTAATGTCAACTAAAACAGTACTTGGTCATGCTGTATATTGATACAATCCGGATTTAAAAATGTTTGCAAAATTTGATAATTAAATTTGATAATTTGAGGAGTAAACGTACACGTGCTCGGTTGCAGACGTCTGTAAAAATTGAAATTTTTAATAATGCGACGTTGATGTGGCTCTTCTTTAGAAAAATGGGCAATGAGTTCTGTAGTTTGCGTAAGCTTACAATTACTTAGCAAAATTGTACGATGACGTCATCACATTTGTGACAAGGAAGCATTGATAAATTTTGGTCGGCGTTTTTCCGTTAACTAGGTAAGCCTAAACTATATTTAGAATTTCACAGCAATCTGTCTGTGACTCCGGAGATTATCTGTCCAATGAAATCGCCAACAGTGGACAGACAAACGAAAAGAGTAAATATAATTTTTCATATTTTTGAAGCTATGAAACGGCGGGAAAACATGACATTAACCACTCATGAAATGGTTCCTGTTGTAATACTTTCCGAACGTAAGCTAGGAAAATAAAAAGCAAAATTTGAAGTTCTTGGCTTTCTTATGGTTCGCACACAGTCAAATTACAAATAAATGTGTAACATCAAAGGCATTTCTTAAAAAATAACCTGAGGTCTATTATTTTCATTCAAAATCTTTCTGAATAAGGATCGTTTGGAAAATATTATATTTTCGTTTCTGTACAGCAAATTTAAAGTAATGAAAAATTTGAAGCGAAAATTAGGCCGAACACGACCTGTACCTTGATAACAGAGAATCGTCGATATTATCAACTTTCTGTGTTTCCATTGGGCAAGTCGTGTTCATCCTGAATTTCAAATATTATTAAATCTTATTCACGTTCCTAATTGGAGCTACCAGATGTTTAGGAGTGTGAGCTTAGGATGACACCACGGTGAAAAATATACCTTGGACAGCCGTTCAGGTAAATGGGTACGCAAGATCGAATATTGTAAAAACGACAAATCGACTTTGTAAAGAAAATGAGTATACACTGAAGCCTAAAAAGAAGCAGCCGAAGGTACGCTGTCCAATGCTAACCCGCACTCTGCTTATAGTACTGTTACGTGGCTCTCGACCGCGACTAGGCTCAACCGGGAAGGCCGTGGGTGATGGTACAAAAAAAAAATAAAATAAAATTGGAGCCTACAATTAATTAAATTTATTTAGAACGGGGGAGGTGAGTGACTGTGTGACTGAGTACAAACTATCGATCTAAATATAAAAAAAGAACCTAAATAAGTTACTATTCTAACCCTATGAGTACTTCGCGTCCGTACCGCAACAGTGCCGTTCCTGGCGGTGGCGAAGATGCCGAACGCGAATATACTTAAATAATAAAAAAAATACAAGAAAATAAAATAATACCTAATACCCTATAACTAACGCCTCTCCTTCTTTCCGGAGTCCAACACGGCGTCCTCACTTAGAAAATGGGGTGGGGCGGGGCGGCTAGTTGACCTTCGTCCAAACTTCACACAGAAAAACCTTTCCACGCCAAGAGCGCAAAAAGATGGCAACACGTAGAGAAGAGGAGGAAAAAAAAACCCAACGATAAAAGTAAAGCGAAGACGAAAAAGAAAAAAAAGGCCTCTGATGGTGTGCGGCCTTAAAGTGAATTTTCGGGGGTCTCAAAAACACAGGACACACGTCCTCGTTCCCAAATGCGGTGGCCTCAAATCGTCTCTAACGCAATTTGGAGAAGAGTAATGCCACAACTGGCTAAAATAAGGGCTCTACCTCCAAAAATGGCCCCTTCGCACTGGATACCCTGAAAACACTTGCACCCGTTCCCAACGACTCGAAAAATCAAAATGGAGTCCCTCCTGGTTTTTTTTTTCCTTTCTGTGGCATGCGCGGTCTGAAATACCCAAATTGATTGAGGGAGGGGAAAATATCGATACCCCGAATCAATGAGAGCTGTCAACTAACCTCACAAACTCATGTAAATAAACAAAATCAACCAAAATCGTATCATCTCCCCTTTACAAAAAAAAGAAGTTTCCTTAGAAACTTACCCCTAACGGCCCACGTGGAAAAAAAAGTTGATTTTCTTAATAAATAAAGAAGAAAAGAAAATAATGGAAAATAATAAAATAATAGAAGAAGAAAATAATAAAAAAAATGGTGAAACTCGGCGGACTAGAGATCCTCGTGCCTATCAAGCTTTAAATCTTGGACATGCCAGGCGCCAAGATTCACCCTGGTATCATAGTCCAATAACTCGTAGACACCTGGTGTCACCTTCCGATGAACCACGCACTTGACAAACTTGGGTGCTAATCCGGCCGCGAAACGTTCGCCCTTATTTGACAAAACCCGATTCCTTTTCCAGACTATCTGCCCGGGGTCCAAGACTAATGGACGTCTTCGCAAATTGTAACGGCTCGCACTATCTAAATAGGCTTTTTCAAGTCGTTTCTGAACATCAACGTACAGTCGAAACAGTTCCTTTAGGTGGTCGTTTAGTTTCTCTCGCGAATCACACACAATCTCATCTTGCGGATGCAGGGGAGTCAGCTTGTGGTGTAACTTCCCTGACAAAAATAAAGAACGTCCAAAGTTAAGGTACGCAGGACTATATCCGGTCACCTCGTGTACGGCGGTGTTGATGGCAAACGCGATCTTTGAAATATTCCGGTCCCAATCCTGGTGCGTATCTCCTGTCAAATAGCTACGAACAGCCGTCTTCACAACCCGGTTAATACGTTCACTAGGGTTTGCCTGAGGGTGGTAATTGGCGTTGAACGTAATTTTGCAATCATAAGATTCTACCATCTTCCGAAAGACATTACTAACATACTGCTTGCCGTTGTCGCAAATAATTAGTGATGGAACACCAAACCGGAGAAAGACATCGTTTTCCATATGCTCGGAAACGACAGTACCTAGAGCCGATTTCAACGGAAATAGCAACACGTATTTAGTGAAACAATCAGCTACAATAAGAATAAATCGATTACGTCGACGGGAAAGTGGAAACGGTCCCATAATGTCCGTACAAATCAACTCCCATGGCTTCGAGACAGTGCGATGGCCCATTTGGCCATAGGGAGCACGTTGCTCCGGTTTTTGTGCGGCGCACACCTCACAATTTCGAACGTATCGGGCGATATAAGTGTTCATTTTTGGCCAATAGTACAAGGCCGAGACTCTCTTTTGCGTCTTGAAATATCCTAGATGTCCGGATGTAGGAGAGTCATGGTTTTCTACCAGTACAGCTTTACGTAATGAAGGAGGTACTAACAATCTCCAATCATCGTCC